TAACGATTCATCGATTTAAATGCATTTAATTTTAAGATTCACTGAAATTAGTAACACACAATGTATTCAGTTTCACCCATAGTCAATGTATGTAGAGTGAATACATTCGTTGTCATAGACATAGAGTGACCATGAAAATATTTCTATGGAGACTTTGAGATTAGTCCGAATTCGGGCTAATATGGCAAATTTGTGAATTTGTCGAAAACTGCGAATTCGCAGCAAGCCGAATTCTATGGTGAATTCTCAAAATTGCTAATTCGGACACTGCTCTTTTAAACAAGAAAGGAAAAGTAGACATGCAGGAATTGTTAGAGGCTTTTTCTCTACTCGTTCTTGAGGGTATGTGAGTGTGAGTGTAAGTCTTCCCTTCATCCGCACCCACACCCACAGTGTAGCGAATTTCACACCCATTACCGAGACTCACTTTTTTTGACCAGTTTTACAATATATTTTATAATTTTCAAGCTTCAACATGAGTTTCAGGCATTTGACCACATGTTAATTTAAATTGCATGTTGAATTATTTGAAAGAGAAAAAACACAAAACATTCGAACATGTTTAATATATAAATGTAAGTTTGTTTTTTACGCTTAGCTTCATCGCTAAAACATTCATCGCTAATATTGCCAAACATCTCGTGCATATTTCGATATTTTTCGGGCTCTGCAGTCAGCCGACTTTTCTAGACGGCCTTGGGCTGGGTGCAAGTCTAGTTCTCTGTCTTCATAGTTATTATCTCTTTCATGACTTTTATTCTTTCTTCTATATCAACACATGCTGCGAAGATGAGAGATATAAGTTATAGCATATAAACAACCATAAGCATTTTTGTTATCAAGTTCGCCGCACATAGTTTATCTTTTTTTATTTATTATTTCTCTTCGTTGAATGTGTTATCAAGTGTATTTATGGCAACTTCATCTATTCAACGAATACTTGAACTTCGAAATGCATCTATTCCAAAGGATAGTTTGCTTGGACATTTACTTCCTGATTCGTCTGTTCTTAATGTAACTAATATTCCATGACAATGTGGTCTCTTATCAGATGATGAAATTACTATTACTGAACATTATTCAGCTACACAACTCGTTATTAAACTAGCTCAAGGTCAATTAACAGCTGGACAAGTTATTAAAGCTTATCTTAAGCGAGCTGGTATCGCTCATCAATTGACTAATTGTTTTACAGAGTTTCTTAAAAAAGAAGCATTAGATCGAGCTAAATATTTAGATGAAGAATTTAAAAGAAGAGGAGGACCTGTAGGACTACTTCATGGTTTACCAATTTCTCTCACGGATATGGTAACTATGCGAGGACGACGGATTAGTGCATGAATGGATAAAATGGATCGATAGAATTGCTGAAGATGATGCTCTTGTTGTGAAGATTCTTTATGAAGCAGGTGCTATTTTCTATGTTCGCACTACTGAACCACAAAGTCTTATGCATTTAGAATGTAGTAGTCCTGTTTATGGTACTACTTTGAATCAATTTTATCGAAATTTAACTTCTGGTGGAAGTACAGGTGGAGAAGATGCTCTTCTTGGTCTTAAAGCTAGTCCAATGGGTATAGGAACTGATATTGGTGGAAGTATACGTTCTTCAGCTGCTAATAATGGAGTTTATGGATTGGTCCACTTGCTCGAAAAAAAGAAGATATTAATCTATTTATGAAAACAGTACTCGATATGGAATCATGGTTAAGAGATTCATCTCTTGTATCTATTCCTTGGAGATCGATTAATTTAAATTCAAAAAATTTGACAGTTGCTGTTATGTGGGATGATGGCGTTGTACATCCTCATCCATCTGTTACTTGTGCTCTTCGTGAAACAGTCGAACACTTAAAAAAATATGGAATTCGAGTTATTGATTGGGAACCAATTGATTATCAGAAAGGTTGGGGGATTTGATTAGTGCACTTTATCATTGCAATGGAGGTGAAGAAGAGCGAAGTTTGATGACAGACGTAAATGAACAACCATTACCATTAACAGATTGAATTATTAATCAACCAAATGTGAAGAAACGAAATTGAATAGAAATGAAGGAATTAATTTCAGAAAGAGAAAATTATCGTGAGCTATATGCACAAATATGGAATGAACGAGAAGTTTTCTTCAATTCTTCTTTCGATTGTCTTCTTGCACCTGTTGGATCATCTGCAGCTCCTCAACATGGCACAGCTAAATGGTGGAATTATACATCTTTATGTAATTTTTCTGATTATCCAGCTGTCGTTTTTCTTGTTACAACTGTTGATTTTGTCAAAGACCAAGTAGAAGTTGATTATAAACCTAGAAATGCATTGGACAATGAGAATTATAAACTTTATATATCAATAGAATCGTATTCTAATGTATCAATCGGATTACAAGTTATCTGTCGACGATTTAATGATGAAAAAGTAATGAAATTTGTCGAAATAATTGAATAAGTAATGGGTAGAGAATAATTGGCAAAAAAGATTTGAACTTCTTTTTTTTTATTATAGTTAATTATCACATTTGCTATTTATAGACTTGAACTTATACCATTTTATAAACAATTATCAATCACAACTAAACAAAATCCAAGAAACTCTCAGAACTATTGGAATTCAAGAAATCCAGAGAGGGTGTGAGTGTGCAGATGTGTGTATGGAGGAACAGAAAAACTACGCCCTCACACCCACACCCCTTAATGTTAAATGATAAAATTTTCAACACTGCACATTCATCCAGTATACAATTTCAATATTCGTTGAAAAAGGTTAATGATGTTACATAATCAAGCTTGGTTCTCATCAGAAATGCAGCGCTCAAAACGAAAATCGTCTGCACCTTATTATTTTCTCCACGCTTATCTCTATCACTGCAATTGAAACTACATATTGAAAATAAAAGTTTAATTTTTAGTTTTTTCAGAAAGCATTAGAATTTAAGCACAAGTTACATATCATATACACAAAATCTTTTCGTTTCTCTACGAATAATTCTATTAAAGCATATATTAGTGAGATTGAACAGATATTTAGAAGACTTTTCTTCTTTGAACATATCTATTGAAAAGTTAGCTTCAATGAATCAATTGACACTTAAAAAATAACTTTTTCTTCTATAGTAAAGCGAACAGAATTTTGGTGAGTGCAAATAATTTTTTTTTTACATATAATTATTTTTGTTTAGATGTATATCAATAAAGCACTACATCGGTAAATTAAAAAACTTTTAGAATTATTATTTTTGTTAAGATATTTTTCAATAGAACACTTAAGCTAAATTAAAATATTTTTTCTAGAATAATTTTTTTTTTGTTTAGAATTTCTATCGAAGAATTTAATAGCTAATTGGAAGAAAATTTTAGAAGAATTGTGTTTTTCTTCGGATATATTTTTATCGAAAGTTTTAGTGGAATGATATCGATTGAAATATATCCCAACAAAACAAAAAAATCGTCTTTAAATTTTATGATGATCGTAATACTCGACCTGGGAAGATAGAAATGAGAATAAAATATTTTACTGTCTCCATAGATTCTTTAATTAAAGCTAACATCGCATTTCAGATCTTTGGATTTCGATGCCTACACTTTGAATGACAGAGTTAGATGTTTGCTACCTGATCTGTCTTTATTCCAAAAAAAAAATTCGCGATTATATATGAATATGAATGCACTGAGAAAAAAAAACTATGAATGAAGAAGAAAATTCCAGTACACTGGAACTAGATCATAGAAGAACGGAATGAAGGAAGAAAAAGAAAATAGAAAAACGACATACAATCTCTTATATCCTAACAAACAGTATGAAATAAGTTACAAAAAAAAATACGTTTATTCTATTATTAAATTTACTAATGGAGTTTCGCTTCACTCACTGTTAATATTCGAGAGTGTTGATTTGTAGCCTACAGTGTAAAATAAAGTTAAGTGCTTGTTTTTTTATCTTCTCTTCATTTTTTTCAAAACGCAATAAAAACTACTCAAAATGCTACAAGCATTGTTAGATCGTCTCAAAGCTCTTAATTTCTTTGGATCACCTCTTACAGCCAACAATGAATATGAATTAGAAAGTGAGCGAATTTCAACTCGTATCTTTATCCTAACGATTATCGTTTCTATTCTTATCATCGTTATATATACGGCTCAAGTAAATATTACACAGACTATTAAACTGAAGAATCCATCATATGAGAAGTTTCAATCACTATCACTTCATTATCCACAAACACTTCGATGTCCATGTGAGAACGCAAGTATTTCTCATGAATCTTTCATTGATCTTAAGCCACGATTTCATCAATTATGTTCATCTGATTTCATTCAGAAAAATTGGATAGATCATATTAGTTCAGTTGAAAGTAGATATATTTCAATAGAATTTGGTTATACTGGTCGCCTAATCTTTTTAACTCTGGCTTCATTTTGCCATCTATCGGATGAAATACTGATGAGTAGCCTAGAAATGTTTAAATCAACACGATTTATCACCACTCAGGCTCTCTTTAAAACCCTCTTTGAAGAACAAATCGATGCAGTAATTCAAGATTTCGAAACATCAACAATATACAGCTATTATGAATTATTCAACCTCAATCAGTTTTCTACTCAAACAAATACACTTTTATCTGGCTTATTCAGCAACCTACAGATTTTAATTAATATATATAATGGTGGCTTCTTTACAGCACCTGGTATATATGGGGATTTCTCATGTGATTGTGATACTTCCAGATGGTGTGCTGATCCATTACTCATAGAAGATCGTCGAACAAATCAAAGTGATTCTCCACGACCTCGTTCCAGAATACCAGGTTTGTTCATCGGTTGTCACTTAGTACAAGCTATCCGGCAGTCTTCATTAGAATGCTTCTATCAAGCATCATGTATTGAAATGATCGAACAGTTCCTTCAAGCCCCACTTCCACTTACTCGTCCGATTTTGCCACTCAATTCATCTATTGTGAGTAGATTCAACGTTTCTTCGACTGTTGATCAACTTCTTTCCAAAGCCATGACAGAAGAATGGGAAAAAAATGTTTCACATGTTCAATATTTTCATCAATGTCAAGTATCATCATGTATCTATTCATTCAGTGCTAAATTCAATATGATATACATAGCGACAACATTGATCGGTTTGGTCGGTGGACTGATAAAAATTCTTCGTATTCTTATTCCTCGTATTGTTAAGTTTATTCGACGTCGATTCGCACCGCCACCAACAGTAGTGAATGAACCTAGTGAGTAGAATTCAGAGTTGCAAATGATACCAGACAAATCAGATCGGCATGAATTACCCTTCACTTTTCTCATATACTATAATCTGTAGAAGATCACATTTGGGGAAAAAGTTCAGATGGTCGATTAGAAACACTATTTTTAGAGTTTGAAAATTTAATATCTCCTCAGTGAAGATCAATAGGATCGAAATATTGATTAGTACATATTATTGTACAACCCTTAAATGCTTTATTATGTATTTAATTTTTAATCTTCATATTTAATAGATACGGTTCGTCGTTCTTTAATGGAATATCTTCGCACTTTCAACTACTTTTCAAAACCATTATCCGTACCAAATGAGACAGAAATCAAACAACAAATAATAAGCACTAGACTTTATTGTTTACTGCTTGCAATATCATTTATTGTTTTAATTACATACTATAGCATGGAACGTGTTATGACGTCTCATCAAATCGAATCTCCGACATTTGAACAATTTATTCAATTGCAAACCGAACAATATTCTAATCCTTCTTTTTCTTGTCCTTGTTCAACATTTGCGATTGCTCATGAAAAGTTCATTCAAATTAAATATGATCTTCATCCATTTTGTTGGTCAGATTTTATTTTGAAAGGATGGTACTTTTATATGGATTTTAATTGGTACAATGAAAATTATTATACCTATGATTTTCGTATTCTTAAACGATTATTCTTTGCTTCTCTTTACTCATTTTGTGTAGTATCCGACGATCACATTCAATCGAGTCTCATTGCGTTTAATTCATCATTATTTGTAGCTAATAAAGCACTTGCTCCTCAAATATTTGTCACAGAAATGGATAAGATAAACAAGACATTCAAGTCATCAATGACTCGTTCTTTTAAACGTAATCTTGCTTTTATTTTAAATATGACACGAAATAATGGACTTATGAGTTCTAAATTCAGCAACTTTTATCTTTATCATACTGGTACATATCCATTGTTCAACATGCAATATGCCTATACTACACATGTAATTTTTTCTGGTAATACATTCACCACATGTGCTTGTCAAGTTTCGACAAAATGTTTCCAGCCTTTATCGACTTATTTCTATAACTCTACTTTTACGTTCAAATTGTGGGAAGTTCCGGGACTTTTCTATGGCTGTTTAATGATGGAAAGTATTCGTTTTTCCACAATGACTTGCCTATTTAATCAAACATGTGTCGATCTCATGTCTTTCTGGTCCAATCAGTCTACTGTGAATGCTATCGATAGTCAAAATCTTGTTCATTTTGATCCAAACTCGCTTATTGGTGACATTGCAGATGAATTATTCATCGATCAATGGAATTTTTCGGCATCTCATCGTATCTTCTATGAACAATGTCGTCCTAACCATTGTATATATATTACAGCTCAACAGAATTCATTTTGGCTTATTCTAACAATAATCTTTGGTCTTCTGGGAGGCTTGATGAAGATTCTGCAGATTTTCATTCCTCGTTTTGTCCATGTAATATTTGCATTGTACTCTCGCTGTTGTCATCGTAAACATAGAGAAACAACTGTTGCGTCCGATTCATCTACTTTCTCTTTTCAACAAATTGTTACTCGATTACGTAAAATCAACTTATTTTCCTCTGATGATCCAGCTGAAAATAATGAATATGAAATTAAAAATCAAATTATTTCTACTAAATTATTCTTAGTCTTTCTTTTCTTGTCATTGATTATCCTTACGGTATTTTCTTCTCAAGTACAAGTGACAAAAATTGTTACAATTAGCAATCCTTCAATTGAACAATATACTTTTTTTTACAAAACCTATTCTCAAACATTTATTTGTCCGTGTCAAAAGATTGCCATTCCGAGAGAAACATTTCTTAATCTTCAACCTACATTTCATCAGATATGTGAAAGCAGTTTTGTCGATTCTCGTTGGTCAACTGGAATTTTTTATACTAGATTTGTTGGACCTTTAAACAATCGTGATTTTCGTATAGTAGGCGATGCTATTTTTCAAACTATTGCATCATTTTGTCAGGTATCATTGGCAGCTATCAATGATGGACTTTTGGAATTCGATCAAACATCTTTTATTACTGTTCAAACTATTCCAGAAGATCAACTTGTTGAACAAACTCAAGCCCTTATTGATCTATTTATTTCTACAAGTGAGAATGAATTCATTAGCTCACTTCAAATTATTCGTGATACAATACACGCAAATGTTCTTCTATCGGGCTTTGAAACAACAATGTCAACAGAGTTTCGCATACCTGATGGATGGAGCAATCAGATAGGTATAATACCCAAGACATACAATATGACATCATCTTGCTCATGTTATAATGATCCAACATGTATCGAACCAATCGGTCTCTATACGCTCTCTCCGAATAATACACTTATTTATTTAATTCCAGGATTTTTTATCGGTTGCTACATAGTCGAAGCAACTCTCAAATCAAATCTTGCTTCGTTGTACAATCAAACTTGGATTGATGAATTTCGTGCAAGGATTCTATATGATTATTTCAATTCTATTCCTTTTATTACAAAAGCTTTGAATGCTTCTTATAACAGTCAATTCAATCTCACAACGCCAATTTATATCATATTGCAAAAGATGATGATTGAATCATGGCACACTCAAATTAATTATTCGGCTTATTATGAACAATGCCATCCTATTGAATGTCAGTATTCATACATTGTCAAGTCTGATGTTCTTTATATGGTCACTACAATCATCGGATTAATTGGTGGTCTCGTCACTATTCTTCAACTCGTCATTCCGCGTGCGGTCAAGCTGATTCGACGTCATGCATTCAATCGACGTCAACATACGGCAGTTCAAGTTATACCAATATCATAAAGTAGCCCAAAATGAACAGCAATTCATCTCTAACTATGATATTTTTGCTTAAATATATGTTCTACACTTTTAAATTTGCTTTCAATATATTTCTGTTGTCATCGCTTGTTTATACTCGATGTTGATTCAACTGCTTTGTGTCGAATAAATATCAATTGTAAAGAAAATGACTATCTTGTCTTGATCCTATATTCCATTATTTTAGCTGAAAATATTTTATTTTCATACAGTGGGTGTGGGTGTCTATTTAGCTTCTTTCTACATACACATCCATACTAATATCCATACCCTTTCTGTAGAAAACTGCAGGTCAATCGGCTGAAACGTTCTTCAGATATGACTGTGTTAGGACTCCCGTCGGTGGAACTGGTCGCGTTCAGAACTTCGCATAAAATGCTCATAAAAAATCGAGAGTTCAATATTTTTTTAAAACGGTTTGCATCAAAATTCATAAAACTCTTTCCTCTACAACATATCCTCAGTTGAGCAAGATCTCTATGTGACCGGACGCGACTTATATGAACTGACTCATATACCATACTGTACTCGTATTTTTACCTTTTTGCATATTTTTGTTCATCTTGAATAAGTTGCATGTTCAACTTTTTTCATTAAAACTATTCGCTCAGTTTAAATCATTCGTATAATTATTTCTCTATGTCTAAAAATCAACCAAATATTTATTAAATCACGCATATATTTAATATGATGAAGAACAATAGTTAGTTCAAAAAAAAACACGATTCATTACAAAAAATCATCAAAAATTAGCAAAAAAAATTGAAGATCAATCGCGTTCAGGCGCATGAACATTCTTGTAGTGTATCGCAATTAATCGTTTATCTTTCAAGAACGTAGATGTCTTAGGCTTATCCAAATACAAGATCATGCACAATACCGCTCATTATCAGTGAAGTAAATTCAGTTTATCATCTGCATTTCGGTCAACTCTTCGAATATAACTAAGAAGCTTGGATGGCGTAGCGTTTGGTAAGTAAATAGACGCAAACCTAGTTAATTCCGTTAAATCGATTGTTCCAGAACGATCTCTATCTAAAATATGAAATGCTTCAGGTATGTCAGCCGCTGCATGAGGACCCGTCATGAATACTCTGACAACCTTGGAGTATGCGTCAAATGGTACTGTTGATGTTGCATTGTATTTGCTATATTTTCATAAGCTTGTCGAGTCACCGTTACCGTCCTGGAATATCCATCACTTGTTCTGTAATGATAATTAAGTGCAGTGATCCTATTATTATCTCGGACAATAAAGTCATCAACCTCAAAAGAAGATCGAAGACGATATGCCATAATCGATAGGAGATCTAGTCGAATTCAAATATACCAGGATTTGTTTTTTTTTATTAATTTAGTTCGATTATTGGTGTTGTTGTTGCTCTGATTTTTACGAAATAATCAAGGTGTCGAAAATTTGCATATTTAAATAGATTTTTTGTTGTCACGAAACCTTCATGGTATATCTTCTGTAGACGTTACTCAAATAAGGAAAAAAATAACAACATAAAAACTTTTTTGTTATTTGCATGAGAAATAATCCTTCCTTCATGTTCTTTATCTTTGAATTTTCCAGTAAAATGTATAAGCATAGATGATTCAGTTGTTATTAGTATTTTACCAATCGTTATATCAATAAGATTATTAACAATTTCACATCTTATTCCCGAATAACTTTCTATACATAGACAACTAAATTCATGTAAGGAATCCTGTACTCATTACGTCATCACTTTTTCTCAAGTTTACACTCTGCCTCGTGGACCATCATCATAAGATTCTCTGTGTGGCTGCATCAGTGCTATTTTAAGGCTTTGAACCTTAAACGTTTGAATACTTAATGGACTTCTACATTTGAAATTCTAAAAACCAAAATAACCGGTATTTTTTCTCTTATATATGACCTTTTTGAGTGCTGTCACATAGGCGTGATAGACATATCCACATACTGGTTTGGATTTAATTGATGTTTGAGCTTCGTGCGTTCTGGTTTTCAAATCATATCTAAATTTTAAGTGGTTAAGAAATTTCGGAGTCTCAAAAGTTAATTTTTTTGTTTCTTGGAATATAATCATTTGACTTCTGTCACAGACCTTGATAAATGTTTTGTCATGCTGCCCCTTTGAGCTTGCTATCGATTGTGCTGAATATCATCAGAGAAAGTTGTAATGCACAACTAAAGAGACTCCATCGTGTTTTACATCTTTCTAGGCCGCAGGACACTCGCCAAAATCTTTTCTTTGCATAGTCTAGGATATGGATAATCATTCCTTACATTCCGACAGCAATACCTACAATCTCATCTACACCTGAAGAGTATTTGTAGAGGTTCACCTAGCTCATGAACTTTCACGATGAATTTATGAAAGCCGAATATATAGTAAACTCTTTAAAGATTTAAGAATCTTATGAATCCTTTTAGAAAATTTTTAAGACGAATATTTGAAGTTCATAAACCCCTTAATATTCCCCATTTAAGGAGTTTCTCGAATGGTTCATGATCCTTTCATAAACGGTAGAAAAGCGTTTTGATACGTTGCACCTTCATCAACCCTTTCAAACGTTTATTATTCTCCGGTTTTTTTAACAGTGTCGGGGACAAGAGAACTGACTGATCATGTGATCAATAAATCTGAATTTCACAATAAAGCTCTGAACTTTTACCACCAAATTAAAAGATTTGAAGGTGGATATATAAACAATTTATAGAACTTGATCTATTTTATCATCAAATTTGTTCGTCAAGTTTTGTTGGTCAACAATGGATTGAACATTTATTTGATGTAGGTATAACGGAATGCTATGTTGTTTGTCGCACGACACTTTAGTCGACAGATTTTTCGTCGAAGTAACTTTGTTGAAAAATTTTTAGGGAAACTTTTTTGTAGAAAAGCATTTCGTCGAAAGTGAATTATTTTCTTCTTCTTATCTGTCTCACAGTCAAGAGATAAGATCAAAAATATCCCCTATTTAACTTTGTTCCTTTGGCGATGATGGAAGAATTTCAGGGCACCATTGAATAGAATCACATACTTTTCGTCGAAAAGTACTTCAAGGAAAGGTTCGTAGCCCTTCGAGACAATTTCAAATTCTTCAATTCTTCTACGGAACTATTCAGAGTTAAGAGGACAATGAATTTTCTCTCACACTCACGTTTGTAGTGCCCTTGTCCTCACACTTGGAGTGCCTTGCATGGCTCTTACCCTCACCGTCACACTTACCTCACCTTTAAATTTGAAGTGCTCTCCATAGCCAAGAAAATACTTTCGACGAAAAGCAGATATCTACCTGAGCTTATCAATGAAGTGCTTTGTCAGCGAAGTGTCGTGTCGACGGAAATTTTTCGACCAACAACATAATTTTCGTGCTACGACTTCGGCTCAATTTCGAATTCTTTCATCATTATGCAAGCAAGCACAAGAGATTGTCAATATCAACCTTACATACTTCTACTTCATCCAAATGTTTACAACTAGCAACATCATTGATAATTTAAATTCAACATTAAATGGTTTATTAATTGGTTATTATTCACTTGAATCAATATTAAAATCATCATTGGAAGAATGTTTACACAATCAACCGTGTTTGAATTTGATATTAAATTTTATTGGACAACACTCATTAAATGATAATTTTACAATATTTAATTTATCTTTATTATCAAAAATTTCTCGAAAATAAACATGAGACAGTTTAAAAAATGGTCGATCGATTATTTGTTAATAATTAGTATATCAATTATTCGTATGAGAAGTATATTGAACAATATCGTCCTTCGCATTGTACTTGTTTATATGTTCAAAATTCTGATATACTTTACATATCAACAACTATTGTGAATGCATATGGTAGTTTAACTGTAGTATTAAAAATTCTCTCATAATTCATTATTCCGATTGCTTTATAGATTCGAAATCTTAAACAAACACGTATCGTTTCAGTTTCGCAACCACTTAGTCAAAATTAAAAAACATCAACAAATTCAAGAAAAATACATTCACTGAAGCATAATTTTTAAAACTGATTGTTCATACAAGATGCTCCAAAAGTTTGCCATGCAATTAATCAAAGAATTTTTTATTTCATATGATAGGTATGATCGCGAAGTTTTGACTAATACTAGCCAATTTCGTAACTAATGCTGAAAGACATCACTTTTGATTGAAAATACACAATTTCACTTATCAATTTTCATTGAAAGAACAGCAATCGTTTCAGTCTCTAAATGGTCAAACGTCAGGTGAAAAAATTGCCTGCAGATCGTATAATATCCTCAAAGATTGTACCGGCAATTGGATGTCATAAGACACATACTGTTTAATCTTATAGAATCATACAAATATCTTACTGTAAGATTTAATATGTTTCTTATTATAAGATGCTAGTTTTATGCATTTCATAATTCTGGAAAAAAAGGTTCGTCACAGAACTACTCTAGGCCATTAGAGAAAAAAAATTCATTTTTCGATTTCATTACCTTAAATAAATGATTAAGTCCCACCGTAATCAAATAAAAACAAAGAATCTATTTTAATCCCTAAAAATTGCTATTTTGAGGGTGTGTTTATTATTTTGCCATTATCTCATCAACGACTTGATCATTTGAGTTTGGAGACATCTCGTTTTATTTAGCAGCTCATATTGATGATGTACATTTTTTTCATTTAATTAAGTCATTCCAAGGACATAAGATAGTTTGGTTTATATTCTTCATAATAATTTGTTCCATAATAAGCTTTTTTTAACATGTTCACACTCATTTTATACGCTTCCCATTTTCTTTTCTTGTTTTCGTATGCACTCCCATCCATGAAATCCCAAGCATGAACACATTTCTCCGCTCTCCATAACAACACATTTTTTCCTTTGCTTTGCATCTTTTTTGCAAAAGCTTCACCTTCCGTACAACTGGTGTCGTACTCAGCAGTCACCACGAAAATAAGTTTCGGCAACGTCTCTGCATCTGCAAAGATGGGACT